GGCTACTGGGAGCGCTGGCCGCCGTCACAGCGGTCAAACTGGGACGCTCACATCTCTGAAACCGTCTGAGCTAAATGTTAAACAGGCTTTATCCTGATGAAATGACCACATATTTGGCGTTTACACCAAAACTTCCTCGCCTCAAATAATCATAAAACTACAGTTTGTGTCACAATAACAACAGTATTTACAGAAAGACTGTGTTACTGTTGAAAGTTTTCTCCTCGGCTTTTGCCACTGGGCGGCGCGAAATGCATTCTGGGATACTTGCTGTCTGAAGTCCACACAGTCCGGTCTGATGCAGACTCCATAATGTGGGCGGAGCCAGAACACATCCGCGCATTTCATCAGTACTTGGTCAGATGCCTCCTTAGAACTGGGACAGAACTTGGTCTCAGACTGATGACGTTTCATAAGTCCGCAAGACCGCAAGTACGGACAAGTAGGCACATTGAGACACGGCTAGGCCTCGGATGCTCGCCGAACCTCCCAGACTTCCGGGATTTCCGACACTCTCCGAGATTCTCCGAGCCATCCCGAGGCTCTCCGGGGCTTCCCGACACTCCCCGAGCCCTTCGACCCTCTCCGGGATCGTCCGAGCCTCTCCGATCTCTCGGTGCAGGTTTAGTGGGTCATGGAGGAGGAAGGTAAATAACGGCACACAGCGGCTGCTTCATACGGTCAGCGAAGGTTTACGGTTAAAGCGGGGCACGGAGAGACCAGATAGCCGGCGAGGAGGCTCTACGGTTCGGCTACAGCACCAGCAGCTGTCGGCGGTGAGGTGAACGTCCTGCTACCGTGTGTTCATGCTTGTTCTGCGGGTAACAGTGAGGAGAGATCCGGCCTCTGGCGGCTAGCTGTTAGCCACCGTTAGCTGCAGCAGCCGAGCAGGCGGTAGTTAATAGTTGACATGTTCTCTGTGTGACTGGTTAAACAGCAGCTCGTTGCTTCACAGGAGACACAACACAGCTAATGCTAACCCAGCTAACGGCTAGCATTAGCCGCGCAGCTAGCTCCAGACCAGAGCAGGTAGCTGAAGGCTGCAGGTGTGTTCAGGTCGTTTTTCTGCTTCTGTTTCAAGTGTGTCGGTATAGCAGGGACCCGTCATGTCTCCAACAGGTGATAAACATGTGTCACCTGGCCGTGTATTAATATCTGACAGTAATCCTCTTACTGTGACCCTGATCATAATACAGCAGCTTTAAATCCGCAGCCAGCGACTCACCTGGACGCTCACCTGTATTCACTCTGTTGTTCTCTGGTGAATCCAGCACTTGTTTGGTCTCTAAAATGTCAGAAAATAATGAAAAACGGGGATCAGAGTTTCCTCAAATGTCTCGTTTTTTTCCCCAAAGATGTTCAGTTTACTGTCACGGAGTAAAGAAACCATAAAATGTGCTGATTGTTGTTTCAGATTGTGATTAAAGGAGATGAATTGTTCAGTCTTTACATCTTACAGTTAGTCAGAGTAACAGGTTCAGTCTTCAGTATCTGCACACTTTAATAAACTCTCTAAGCTGTTAAATAGTTCTTAATTTAATCTTGAATTAGATTTTTATTTAACGAGTGAAGGGTCTCCTGTTCAAGAGCTGAAGACATGACAATATAATACAAATGTAAAAAGACTCAAGAAGAAAGGCTTTGGTTTCCAGACGTTTGGTCTCTGAGTCCTGGTTTGTTGTGGGACTGTTGGCTGTAACCCTGCAGGTGAATCAGACAAGTTGAGCAGAACCACTGATTAAAGCAGCTCTTCAGGGTGTTCTGTCTTTCTGAACTAAATCAGCATTGGTGAACGTTTTGAGGATCAGGTGAGTACTTATTAGATAAATGTGGATCAATGAGGCGCTTTTATCAACACGATGAATCAACATGATGCATTTCGTACGAACTGACAGACGAGGAAGGAGATTTGTCTGAATAGTGTGACGGTGGAGTTTATCTGAAGAAGTAAAAAGAGAAGATGAATGACTAAACCCAGTCTCTTCTCTTCATCAGAGTGTCTCTAATGTGCTGCTGCAGGCTTCGTGTTATTCACGGTTCGGTAGGACGTGAAAACAGCAGATGGAGTTTCAGTGGCACACAAACTTCATATTTATGAGTCTGTTGAACATTTAAAGCAGGCAAAAGTCTCAGAATTAGTTTAGTAGCATTCGTACATGATTTACCTGCTGCCGTGTTCACCTGGAGGCTGAAACATCACTGGACTTTGATCAGTGGATCTTTGGCTCCGGCAGCTTGAAGGTTGCTGCAGTTTCCTTTGTGTGTCTTTAAACATTGAGATATTTTTATAAAAACATTGTTCTAGTTTATTTTTAATATCTGTTTCATACGATGGCATGGTGCTCTGACGCCTAATAGATGTGATGTCCTGGTCCAGTTCTCAGGTGTCTGACTGGGTTTGCCTCATCCTTGTGTTGCCATGGCGATGCGGGAGCTGGTGGAGGCAGAATGTGGGGGAGCCAATCCCCTGATGAAGCTGACTGGTCACATGACCAAGGAGGGTGGGGCCTGGCGGCACCGATCCACACCCACTGTGAGTGTTAGCGTGCTGATCAGAACTTCCTGCTGAATTAAGCGGTGTTTTTGGAGCCGTCATGTTCTCCTGTGTTTTACTCTCAGGTTCCTCCGACTCCCATTGAAATCGCCACAGAGGAAGAGGTCAGTGTGAATCCTGCTCAGTCCAAGTCTGTTGAAGTTGCAGTTCACGTGTTTCGTTCTCTGACAGGATAAAACAGTAGCTTTGACATGTTTCAGCTGGTGAACGAGTTCCTGCAGGCGCCTCCTCGGCCTCCTCACACCTTCGACATGGGCCAGCTGCTGGAGGAGATGCAGCAGATCGACCAGCAGAGCTACAGACAGGCTCCTCAGAGAGGTAATCGCTTATTCTGATTAATAATAAGTGATCAGATTTATACAGCGCTGTTCTAACTCAGAGTCGCTTCACACTGTCGGTTATCCACCCCGGTGGTGGTCGCTCCGGTTGTAGNAGAATGAACGTCTGGGATAGACAAGACACTAAACGTTCACTCTGGCTGTCTCCTGAAGGGGGAGCTGCGACTATGCGGGCTGCCATGGTGAGATCTCGTGTTGTGATTCTTTGGTGTATTGTTCTGGTTCTGTTTATTCCGAAGAAGCAGCAGAAGCAGCAGAAGCAGCAGAAGCAGCAGAAGCAGCAGCAGTGTCACTGTTGTCTGACTACATCCTGCTGTGTTACAGTGGTACCAGGAGCAGCTACTGTCATCATCATGGTGTGCGTCGGCTTCCTGGTTGTCATGGTGATCCTGGGCGTCTTCCGGATCCGCTCCATCCACCGCCGAGGCGAAGGCGCCAGGGGCGGGGCTAAGGAGAGCAACAGCCAATGGGACGACTCGGCGCTCACCATCATCATAAACCCGATGGAGGTAATGGATCGGTATTGAACGATCAGAATGATCGGTTCTGTTCCGTCAGTGTTCTGATCCTCTTGTTGTCTCGCAGTCCTACGAGTCACGTATGGGAATCTCTGCTGACACGGAGGGCGAAGGCGAGGAGGACGAGGAGGCGGCCGAGTCACCTGACGACGCCAGCGACGACCAGCGAATCATCATCAAGAAGGAAGGGAGGGACGGAAACGCCCGCCGCTACTGAGCCAATCGTATCTGTGCACCAGTTCTCATGGAAACCACCAATCAGCTCACAGTCACACACTCACACTCTACTATCGACTAGTATAAGGAATGTATGCTTACAACACGACGCACAACACCGTAACACTCAGCGCCATATGTGACCTAAAGCCGACAACGGGCTGCTGTCCTCCACTAAATGTTCAATGGCACAATGTAAACAGTCATGTAATTTACCCACCGTGTACGTGGTGCACAGTCTGATCACGTGTCTGTATAGTGTAACTCTGGCTGGACGGGACTGCTTCGTTTCAAACACACGATTGTATTCTACCTTTTGTTATCGAACACAGAATGACATCTTTACAAAATGTAAACCGGAACAATTCGAAGGCCTTGAGCAGATCCAACACATTTCTGTTCTTCACCAGACTCCGAGTCTGTGCACAAACCCACACATTCCTTCCAAACACCGAGTGACACAGTGGGTCAGAACCAAACAGCTGACGATCCGACTGATCGTCCCGTAAACCGGCCGCTGCTCTGCAGAGCTCTGCTCAAAGAAAAACAGCCTCAAAGCTTCAGAAAGACGGAGTCTCTGCAGAGCTGCTGCTGCCAACCAACAAACACCTGATCAGAGGCTCCGCCCACCCGCTGACCTCACTGACCACCTGACTCACTGCTTCACTCAGCAGCTCACACACACACACACACACACACACACACACACACAGACCTACACTCGGTTCGTCCCTGCTGTCTCCAGAATGTCGCTCCGTTGGGCAGTTTTGATTGTATTGATTATAATGACTCTTGTGTATATAAACTATTCTGATATTATTCTTATGACTATTATTATTGCAGCAGCTCCGTCTGTCGTTGTGCAGCTTCAACAGGAAGCTGCCTTAATTTCTCCATCTGACCTTTGCAGCATCAGAACACGTGTCCTGATCATAATAGTAGTAGTGATAAGATGATAATCCGGCTTGATGAGTGTCTCTTACTTTGTGTGTAATATTGTTGTAATTTAAGAACTTGTCGATATCACAGAAAAGGAGGCACCTTGTTGTCTCGCTGTTTAATCTCACAGGTGATTTTTTCAACCTTTTTGGATTCTTCTGTTTGCTTTCATCTGGTATCTTTGGTTCAATGAATGTACAACAGTGTGCTTCTCCTCACCTCCTCCTCTTCCTCCCCTGGCCCCCATCATTTACCTGTCCTCCCC